TACCATTATTTTCAATATCAGCGTTTACTATGCCTGTTGCTTTATCAATAACAAAACCTTTATTGTCTGCACCATGTATTGTTATATTAGATGGTATTTCGATTTTAGTTACGTTTAATACCAAAGCGGAACCACCATTAGTAATTTGCAAACCATATGCTTTACCATCGCCTAAGTTTGCACCAATTACTAAATGTTTAACATTTGTTATTGCAGAAAAAATAGGGCTGCTACTACTATCTTGTGGTATTGAATTTAACTTAAAAACACATTGCGCATTTGTGTTACCAGGTTGTAAAGTTAAAGTTTTATTAGACTCATTATAAGTGCAAGCCCCAATAGTAGTTTTAGCTGTTGCTGTTTTTAAAGTTTTGTTGTTACCACCATTTCCTTGGGTATTACCTTGATTATGGGGAACACTTTTCTTAGCTGCTGCTTTGGTATGGCTTGCAGCTTTAACTAGCTTATTTTGTGTAGTAGTTGCTACTACCGTTAAAGTTGCTGAGAAGGTATGTTTATCATATTTAATATCTTTTGCTATTATTGCATAGTTAGTACCGTTATTAGAATCTCTAAACACCTTAGAATAAAGAATAGAATCGAGTATAGTATCTGATGCAGTCTGATTATGTGTATCTATAGTAATTGAATTATCACTAGGTAATTTAATTAATGGAACGCCTGTTTTAGTTTGTTGTGCTGTTATACCGCTACCACCACAAAGCACAATTTTAGAAGTGCTTGCAAATGTAGCTTTTGTAGCTATATTAATTATTGGATTACTGATTGCTTGACTAAGATCACTAAATAAAATATGCAACTCACCCGTAGCATTTCCTGTATAACTAGTTATATCCATTGCTTTATCTGCTGCTGTTATCTCGATAATGGCTTTGTTGATTATTGATGCTACGCCACCTGAGGGTATAGCAAACTTAGCTTTGATGGTGCCGCCTGAATTATTAGTAATTAAAGGGGAGGTTATTGTTAAATTGCTACTATCTGTTCCAATATTTGCACTATTAGTAATTGAGGTGGAGGCTGTTATTTTAGCTGTGCTTCCTTTTTCATGAATATTTCCGCTATTTTCAATTTCAGTTACTTCTATACTATCAGATTCAATTGTGGCACCTGATGCATTAGTTATTTTTGATGTTGTTATAGAACTAGTTATAGCAAACTTAGCTTTGATGGTTCCAGCAATATTATTAATTTGCTTTGATGTTATTGTAGTAGCATAAATATTATTATGATTTTCAATTTTTGTTGTTGCTGTTATGCTTTTTACGGGCGTAGCATTTGCTCCAATCTCTCCGCTAGTCTGATTAATAATTGTAGGGGCTGTTATTGAAGTAATTGCTTTAGTGGTTCCAAGATTGCCATCATTATCAATTTGAT